AAATAAAGTTCTATTTATAATTCAAAGTGCCAATTTGTAAGATACTTGCACTCATTTTCAAGTTTTTTTTTAATATTCACTGAACCGTTATGAAGTTTGCGAGGTTTTCAACAGTGTCAACTCTTGAACTTGTTTCTCCTGTTTATGGCCTAATTTTGGCCGATCAACAAATCCCTGCCTAAAGAATTTTAGATACGCTAGAAATATCGGGGGGGGGGCAGTAAGTTCATAATCTATGAATATTTGGGTGCGAGGAAGCTGTCAGCCAAGTTGGTGCCAAAATGCCAGCAAGAAACGATATCGAATGGACAAAATGGTTGCAACATTCTCAGTGATGTATAGATCCTTGATCTGTAGGCCAAACAACATACCATCCACACCAAAGATTTCTATATCTAAAAGACATCAGGAATGGTTACGTGTATGTTTGTTTTTTTTTATAGGGATAGGTGGATGAAGAAGGTATTTTTCTTCAGAAAGATCAAACGGTTACAGCAGAATATTTCTCTTGATTGCTGTGTTAATTAAAGGAGGCGTTGAAAGAAAAACCGTGATGGGAACTGCAGAAAATTGATTAACTTTTTTTTCAACGGCTTATCAACCCTTTGCAGGTTATTTAAAGCCAGAAAATATTTTTAGATTGTAAGATTTTTTTTTTTTTTTTTTTTCGAGAATAATAGGTTAGTGATACAAGTATTACTAATTAAAACATAGCTAGAGGGAGAAGGGTATTTGCGCGTAAGTTAATATAACAAACCTAACTGGAATTGGAACTCTGCTGTCCAATTAACAATTCAGAGCCATTATCCATTACACCACCTGCACACCCAAACTTACTGCATCTAGTATTGCCAAGCAGTCATCCGTCTAGGTGCTGACAAATCTCGACGTAAACTGCGGAAAACTTACAAAACTGGCAAGTCAATGGACATTTTGAAGACTTTGGGGTTTTAGTATGTAGACTGTCGACCTTACTCTTTAGATCTTTCTCCATCTATCTTTGTTTCCAAATCTTAAAAGGAGTTTTCGAATGAGTGGGCTGTGATAGCAGCAGTAGAGCAGTATTTCAATAATCAAGCATCAACATTGTTTCACCTTTCTTCCTTTCCAAAAATCGTTGAATGCCAAGTGTGTTAAACTGCAAGGTGAGTATGTGGAATGCCATAACTGTAGGTTATTCTCTTTTCGATCGTCTCAGTAGCTTTTCAGCTCCTTTTAGATGTATAAGCGTGCGATGGATAAGGTGTTGTCTAAATTACGCAAAAATGAAAATAACACTGACATTTCATTTTAACAGATACATTTACCAAGATTACACTTTTCTTTTTTTTTTTTTTTTTTTTTTGAAATGCTAAAGAGTAAATTTATTAAAATAAAATCCCCACTGGCTTCAACCTCGGACTCTAGACGACTTCGGAATCTCCTGCAACTCTTCTGGACGGTCTCTGTGTTGAAGTTGGTGAATGCTGTCATTATCCTTCCTTCAGTTCATCTTTGGTGTTACAATGAGTTTTGTTGGTCAATCAATGGGGTTGCTGTCTGGGGAGTTAGGTGGCCAGCTGTAAGGAGTTATGTAGTCGCAGAAATTGTCTGAAAGCCATGACTGGGTTCTCCTGCTTGTGTGGCATGGTGCAGAGTCCTGTTGCCAGTCATAGGATCTTACAGTAGCCATCCACTTGACCCAGGGCAGCATTACTTCCTAAAGGCACTTGATGTATGCTTCCGTGTTGGGTCTGGTGTCCTCAACAACACTTTTCTTATCAGAAATATGGTGTGATTTTTTTCCCATTCGCCGTACCTTCGTAAATACTATTATTAGACTCATCAGATTGACATCGAAACACTCTGAAATGTTCGTATTGGAGCTTCCGGTGCGGATACCAAGCAGTACAGCATGCCATTTCCAAATATCTGGCGGAGTGAATTGCGTCATGGTGCTTTTTTTTCTTGCAGACGGTGCCTAACTGACTCTATTATACTGTGCAGTGGACAAAAACAAACTACGCGCATGTGCAAAATTAAAAATATAAAATGGTGACAATTTACCCATTGCACCATATATATATATATATATATATATAAGCAAGTGTAAAACTGAATATTGAAGTCAACATTCAGAGGCTGACGCAATCATCAGGCCTGACGATTGCATCTAGCATGAAACAGCCTGTCGCCTCTGAGTGTTGAATGCAATGTTCACTTTTCTATTTATATTTACTTACGCTCTATCTCTGATGTTAGCACTTTATCCCATAAATATAGCACACCTTAAAACTAATATATATATATATATATATATATATATATATATATATATATATATATATATATATATGGAATCCCTTTTTTAGTCGGATCCGAGAGCATTTCAGCGTCTCATACAGCTCTGTAGTGGACTTTTCCTATAACGTAATTGATATAGCTTGTATTTTTTTTTTAATTTTAAATTGATAAATAAAACTCCATAAATTGTTAATGTTTTGGAGCATTTTTTTAATTTGCAGAGAAATGTATAGTAATTTTGAAAACTTAAATAATTCTGTCACTGTCTGACAACGCTGATAAAGTACCTATAGATTAATATTAATATCAAGTTTATTGACCGAAGAAAAAATACTGGAATATTCACGTACGAGTTTTACTGTTTGAAAATTCAAATATTTGTCCAATTTGCAGCAGTTATTTCGTCTTGTGCAATAGGTAAATATTAATCAATGAAATCTTACATCAACAAATACTTTAGTACCACATTTTGTTTCTTTCTTGAATGAAACTTCGATATAATACTGCAGCAATATAACACCTTCAGCGTCAACTCTATTTTTTCTTTCCCTTTCCGCTGGCATATATAGAATAATGGGGATTTCACAGAGTTTACATAGAATCGCTGGAAAGCGGGTATTAATCGTAGCAGTATACGGATGAAAAAAAAAATGAAGATAATGCGTGAATTTCAAAAAGAGTGGGGGGTTGCATAATTGACGTCTTTTGTAGATGAAAAGGTTAAGTGGCAAAAACTTCAATTAATGTACTTTGGTGCTTAACACAGAAAATGACACAAAGAAAGAAAGCGTTTACGTTGCTTGCGTGTCTATGGAATTACCCGCTTAAATTTAAACGTCCTTTTAAGGAACACTTCATTGCTTCATTGGCGCGCAGAAAAGAAAATCATTTGTCATCCATTACAACTGCTGACAGAGTTAAAAGAAAATATCAGTTTATAGCTCAGCTAATAGTCCATGTGCATAAAGTACCAACCAATAGTTACGGGAGAATTTTAAAACTCTGGTATGTGTATTTATATTTACTTATACCAACCGTTTAGGATATACGATTAAGAGGTAGAAAGTAAAATCGGTTAGCAGGTTTCAAATTCTCCCCTAGTCTGTTATTTTCACTTTCGTGTTAATACCCTTTGAGTCCATCTCTTCTCCTCCAGTCAAGGGTTAAATAGCAGGACAGAAGTGCTCAGGAAATATCGGTGACAGCCACTCTAGGAAGACTATTCTTAATTCAAAACCGCGGAGAAGGTAAAAAGAAACAATTCTACTGTCTTCCCGAAGAAGTCCTAAAGCTTCAAAAATAATTAGAAAAAAAGTTGGGGTGGGGTCTGTGTGGGCACCATGATAATTTATGACATGAAAGGACATGGTAATAACAGAAAAATGTTTATATGTGCATATTCAACCGCAGCTCTGTTTTTCACCGACCAGACAATGCTGTTTACGCTGGTTTTCGATTCCCGTGTTTGTCGATGCGAACAAAAACTGGGAAAAGGCCGATGTACACCCAGAAGAGTACGAAAGATGAAAATATCGCCACCATGAGAACAGAAAGCATGAATCCTATTTACATTATATTGATTATTTATTTACGAATTAATCTACTTGTGGACAGCGGGTGACCGTTTTGAAGATGTCAAATCTAAATTTTACTATTGGTCATAAAACATCAGACACTTCAGTCCCAAATAAAATCACTTCGAGCTCATTTGACTTCGTGAGTGTTTTAATTACGACTAGGTCCCATTGTATAACAGGGATAATTCGTAATATCACGTGTAGAATTTATTAAATAATTGAATGTGTAGTGACACAAAAAATTCTGATTGGAGGAGAAAAATGTGTATTTTAGCGCCAACTTCAGTTGAATATAAGTTGGCAAGTTTTCGGTTTTTCTAAGTACTGCTCACTGACATTTCTGCTACTCTCTCATACCGCTGCTGAACTTCAGACATTTTTTCACGAACAAAACTAAAGATTTCGACGTACGAGGTGAACTAAGTTGTTGATGATAATAAATAACATTTTGTAATTATTTTTACTTAAAATTTTTTTTATCAAGTTTCGATAGTGTCTGACTATTGTGCATTGAAAATCAAGGGAAAATGTAGTTTACTACATAATAATTGATTTTACTATAGTAATGCATAAATTGTCAAGTGTGTGGGGGGAGGAAATCGGGCTATTATGTCGCTCCCAGTCCGGTTTATCGTTTTCTTTCTTTCATATAAGCGTTGGACATTTTGGAAACCTGCTTCACTGAACTGTTACAGAATCCTCTATCTAGAAATTTGACTTCCTTCAACTTCTTCTTGAGGTCGTTGTTTTAGCTTCTCTTCAAGTTTTCTTCGGCTGTCCTTCGCCCTGACTTCTTTCAATGTTCCGCTCAATAAACTGCTTTAGCTATGAATATTATGTATATAAGAATAATACCTTGTTAATTATCTTACAATAAAAACGGCATTGAAAATCAGGATTGATTGATTTGTTTGCAACGGACACTCAACCTTTTGCAGATTATTTAAAGCCAGGTTATTAAAATTCTTCTTTATTCTATTTAATCCATAACTGGGATGAAGACGAGTTAGATTCATACCTTTCTTAATAGTATTTGTGCGTAAGTGAATATAACGAACCCTACTGGAATTCGAACTCGGCTCTTCGATTTCTTATTCCAAGTCATTATCCATTACGCCACCTACACATCCAAGCTTATAAGCACCTATAGTTCCCAAGCGATCACCCATCTATTTACTGACTAGGCTCGACGTTGCTTAACATCTGGGATCAGACGGGAACCGGTCTTTCAACGTGATCTGACCATAAGCCTGAAAATCAGGAAGGCCAGCAATTAATACAAACCTTACTGGCATAATAGGACATATGGATAGTAACAAAAGCGGAATGGAGGTGAGGGTTGGCGTAATGATTATCAGCAAACTGAGTTCGAACTCTGTTGAAGATATTTTCGTTCACTTTGTAATTGAACGTGAATCCATTTTTTATTACGTTTGATTAACCAGCCAGGTGCCAGTCACACCAAAGAATGAAGTATCTACTGCTTCAGTTACATCACAATAATTTTGTGAGGCTGCGAAATATCGCCTGTTTTTCTCTTCCTCAATCTCATGTACTTGCATTCTGTTAATCTTCATTGTCCTTAGTTCCTTCCTAGACGCAAGCTAAAATAGTAACACATGAATCAGGCTTTATTATTCCAGTGGTTAACACTTCCGCTGCTCGTACCTACTTGTGCATCTTAACGAAACTTACGTTTCCTTTTTGTCGACGTATACGCAAGTTTTCAAGACACCGTTAAATGTCGGTCTCTAACCTTTGCATTATAAATTAACTACTGCTTACTGCTATTTCCAAACCAGCATAGACCTAGCAGCGTACAATAAGGCCTGCTTTTTGTTTGTTTTTTTTATTTTTTATTTTTTTATTATATTGTGTGTTGGATGTATCCTTTAGCTTAGAGTATCCAATCGAAACCAAAATGGCAGCGCGTACAAGAAATCGCCATCAACGTCTTTATAGTCATTTATTTCCTTTTATTGAAAATTTCTTATTTTTCTCAAAACAGGCGACCACAGTTAGACAACAATGCTATAACAAGTCAACAAAAGCAGGTACGTAGTTTAAAAGAAGCGTTTTAGTTTTTGTGTTCTGCATTGTTAAACGCTTTTACGTACAATCACCATATTCTTTCTGTCACTTTTGAGTTAATTCCAAACGGCTGAAAATAACGCATTTAGATAGGTCCCGCTAAAGATTCGTTAAAAAAGAAAAAACAAAAAAAAAAAAATGATCATACACGTTGCCCAAAATCGAAACACAAAGTTTTATCCTCAAAATCTTTGTTATTATAAAGAGGAAAGACCAAAGAATTTTTTAGATTATTAAATTATATTTTTTAATCCTTTTCAGAACCATAACAATTTTGTTTTAGTTTCATCAACGGGCAACCATAAATTAGTATGGAGAAATTTGAACGTCTTTTTGAAGTGAAAAACTCATCGATTTACAAAAATCAGATAATTCTCGGATTTTTAATAAAAACTTCCAGGACTTATTCAAAAATGAATGAAATTATTTTTGAAATATTTCTTTATTACTTACCATCCTCTCATTCAATTTTATGAAATTTCGATAAATTTTTTTGTATTGCTTAGTGTTTATATTAACTATAATGACGAATTATTACATAAATTTATTTATTTTTTTTTTGAGAGATATCTACTTTGGTATATATATATATATATATATATATATATATATATATATATATATCTCAAACAAAATTTAAATTGATTGAATTTTTTTCTCTTATCAATAAAACGTTTAAAAATAATTTAATTCATTTCTGAATGTCCAGGAAGTTTTTATCAAAATCTGACAATGTTCTCATTTTTGCAAGAATTTTCAAATCAATGTGTTTTTCACCGAAAAGAGACGCTCAAATTTCCTGTACAAATTTATGGTCCTGTACTGAAGCCACAAAAATGAGTTTTTTTTTTAAACCAATGCTTAAAAAAAATTTACATCAAAAACCCTTTTCATTTTTCATCTTAATAATAGCACAAAACTTTTGATAAAATTTTACTTTTATGAGTTGTACATTTTCCCATCATGTATCCCATTTTTGAGAATTTTTTGAGGTGCCTATAACAAAGAGTTTTTTCTTAAACCGTTCTGTGGGTTCAATAAATGCACATCAAATTTTAGGGTTTGACAGTGAAGAGAGAATTAAAAAAAAATTCTTTGATATATAACGATTGTATTTTTGTTTAATAAACGCTGTACCTGATTTCACAAGTTAAACAGCTAGTTCCTAAAAAAATATAAAAATAAAAACTCATGTGACTTATATTAAGCTGATGATAGTTTAAATAAACATCGAAATATTAATCTCGCTAAATTTACTTGGATCTTCATGAATCACATACTCATAATGGCAGGGGGCACTGTTTTTTGTCCTCTACACACAAAGTTTGATCATTTTCCTTTTAAACGATTTATTTATTGGAGGTCTGTTGTCCTGAATGTTAAATCCTTTCAAGAGGCGAATGTAAATTGTAGTTGTTTGAAAATCTGAGATTAAAATATTTTCATTATGAATTTTTAATTATTTTGGTTGCTTTTTATGACGTCGAGAACAAGTTCGTTCGTTCGTTCGGGGGCTGATTTGGTTAAGTCATCATACATATAAGAAAGT